CCTGCACAAATTGTTTTTGGGCACATAGAGGAGGGTTGTGCAGACGAAAGCCCGCCGCTTCTGTTGTAGCTAGCATCCCACAGTGAACCTGCCTCGATAATCGCCCAAAAACTTTATACAGGAGTCGAAAAGCCTCGGATACGTTTATAGTGTGATTTGTGTCAGCTGGGAGTGTGAAACCACCGCACTGGTGAGTGACTTAATCGTTCCGATTTTCAGCTCTTTATTGGAACGGTATTCAGGAAATGGCATACCTGTTTAAGTGTGAGAACAATCACACTGTGCCTTCTATCTAAACAGATTCATCCAAGTTCTGTATCGAACCATTCTGTAAACCAGGATTCGCTTGTACAATCATCCAAAAGATATTTCCGGCGATCGATAGATGTCTGTTTTCTTGGCACTTGATCTTGTCCCTTCTCTTCCTCTCTGTCGTACTCGTTGTACCGATTTTCACTGATTCAATAATGATATAATTCTTAGGAAGGCCGAGGTGGCCAATCAAACGGGGCTGGCATACAACACACATGGAATGCGGAAAGTCAAGTGGTGGTGGTGGTGGGATTCGAACACACACACACACATTCCCGGTGCTGTAATTTGGTAACCTTTACCACTCGGCCACCTCCACCCCCCGCCAGTCGGTGGTAATCTGTGTTTCATCGCATAAGATCCCAACTTACTTCCTCATGGAGTTTAGTTTTCCGAAGCTATGTTTAATAGTGCGCATTATTTTGCTAGCATAGGGCTTTAAGCAATGCAATATTTAGCGGTATCTAAAAATAGAGTATAAATTGGGGGTGGGTCTGGTGTGATATTTTTTTGTCATTCGTTATCTCGTCTTTGCACACCACATCATCCTCAATGCCAGAAATCCATTTTATCACGCATTTTACAATTTTACCCATTTGATAATACTGAAATGGAACTGATCAGAACAGTATCAGATATCATACAAAGCAAACTAGATTGTACCATTGCGAAACACCAAAGTTGGGTGGAGGTGGCGGGGTTCAAACCTCGAACTGTAGGGCTCAAATTACGCCGCTGACAGTGACTAAACCACTTAGTCACCACCACTCCGTGTTTGTGCATGTGTGTAGGTTTACCTCTGCCAATCCATAAAATGAGAGCACCGAAGCGACTCGCTCACCATTTACTCTCATTGTCACTTGACTGCACTTGCATTCATACAATGTATCCCCGATGGAATCTTAATATCGTATCGCACGCATTTGGTATTCTTTCTATAGTGATACTGACCCCTTGACGAAGCAACCGTTGGTTTGTGGCTGAAACCATCGGTTTGCGAATTTCAAGTTTGCATTTGTGACAAAATTTCAAAATATATCTCTTGCCTACTCTTAGTGTTTATCAGTAGTCTATATTTGAATACATTATTTTTTGTTTCAATCCATGCGAAAATCGGGAGAAATTCCACAACCGTGATAGGTTTCAAACACGACCTAATAGAGGCTTGCTTTACCACGGCACGAGTACGACCTCATTCTATATCCACGGTAATATTTAATTTTTATTGGTTTGGCCATAAAACGAAATCTTTTTTCAACACAAGAAAACATAAGTGGGCCGAATTGAAATTGGCCATCAATTGCGCATGCTCTCAATTAGCTGTAAACGTACATTTATGCGATCATATCAAACAAAAAACGTGGGAGTGGAAAATAGTCTCTTCTATATGCTCTAACAAATCCGCCTCAGTGAGCTCATTATTCCACGAAACGCGCTTACCTGGATAAACGCGCATAATTCCACTGATACTGGCAAAATAAATGAAGTTCAATCCTTCAATTTGGTTAAATATATAATCCAAATTTCCAGTCCATTTTAACGTGTGAAAAACGAGTTGATCTGCAAAAAAAATATGAAATCAGATGTGGAAATTATAAATTTTCTTTGATTAAAGTTGTGGAACATGTTACAATCAGATTTGGAAAATGTATCAAACAATTTCTCAGATACGGCTACCTTTCACTTATCCGACTTGTCCAATGTGTAAGTAGAGTTATACATGATCGTGCTAAACGGTAGAGTGCATAAAACGAGCATTCTTCTAATCGAGGAACTTCGGAAGCTCATTCTTAAGCAACGATCAAACGCACGGATGAATGAAACTGGGTCCACCCAAATTTCAACTTTGTTATGTGTTTGATTATGGAAACAGCTCTATCCTCGTTGCATCGATTTACTCCCAGGTGGCAGGCTGTCTGATCTAGAGTACGCAGACGACATCGTACTAATAAGTGAAGATCCAGGTAAGCTGTAAACATTTCTGGACAGCCTGAATGCCAGTGTAGCCATGTTAAGTATGCGTTTTGCACCTTCAAAGTGTAAAATGTTACTACAAGTTTGGGTCGGTCCAGCACCGAGCCTCACTCTACTGGAGAAGTATTAGAGCAAGTGGATAAGCTTTGTTATTTAGGCAGCTACATCTCACCCGGCGGACGCATCACAGAGGAAGTGTCATTGTGCATACAAAAGGCTCAGTGGGCATTTGCCAACTTGAGACATGTGTGACACGATCGCGACATCCGGCTGTCTGTGAAGGGTCGAGTGTATGCCAGCAGCACTTGGGCCAGTTTGGCTATACGGCGCAAAACTTGGCCATTAAGAAAACAGGAGAAAGATAGACTGTCGGTGTTTGAACATCGCTATCAATGCCGCATTGCACGAATCTCGTGGGGCAGCCGCACGAGCAATGCTGAGGTTAGGCAAAGTTTTGGGTATCCGCGGTCACCCATTGGAGAAAGTGGTCGACCTCCATAGATTACGTCGATTGGGGCATGTGTTACGCATTTCACCAGATAGGCTGCCACGGCAAGTGATGTTCACCGAGGCAGTTAGTGGGTGGAACAAAGTCAACGGTGGCCAAGCTAAGACCTGGCACGAGGGCATGAAAACCCTGACCAGGAGTCTGAGTTACATAGGTCCAGTTAGGCCCCGTGGCTGGGGACCTCGGGATGATCGTAACCGATGGTTAGAGACACTGAATGATATGCTATCGTAAACAGTGGCGTTCATGCATCTTCTCGATTTCTTTGCAAACTCAGACCACTGAACTTCTCCATTTTCCGTTCGACTCTACCTTCAACTTTCCTGTCTTCTCTCTCGTTATTCATTAGAAGGGGCAGCCAAAAGACAACAACCAAAACCGGCGCACGATAGTGCATGACTAATGGTTGTTCAAACTGAAACTGAGGTGGCATAACATAACTTACAGGTATTTTCACCTGCTGCTGATTGTTCCTTCAATTTTATCACAGNTTATCACAGACGCAGACACAACCTCTTTTCTGATAGGAAACGAAATAGTGCAGAACATACAGAACCCCATGGAAATAGCGACATTGATTTGGCATCGTTTTTAGATATATATATATATGTATTCATAAGTATACCAACTCTTATTTGTACATTTGAATATATCCTGTGAGTTAAAGCATATGTATACAAAAGCAAAACATTTTCAAAATCAGCCCTGGTTATCAATGAGCGGAATAGTTGATCTCAATGAAATCACTAATTTTTTTCGCCAACGGTCCTTCATAGAGGGCTAATAACTAATTTCACGTAAAATTGTGATCTATCTTCCGTGTGTAAAACATACAATTGCCAAAGAAGTGTTCGATATGTGGTCTCCAGTCAGATTCTACCAATTCTTCAATAAGGGCTCGATAATAAGGCAAACTCTAGGTATCATCATCAAAGACAATGCCAGTCTTCCTTTTAGCAACTTCGGTCATAAAAACCCCTGGTTTTCACAAGTAGACACGAACTCTAATGCAGATNGCAGATCACTGCATCTTTTTTATCTGTGAAATTTTCAACTGCTCATTACCGACCAAAATCTTTCATCACATGGATGAGCTTATTTTCGAGTGATACAAAGACAGCTCAAGGATAGATATAGAAAAAAAGGCCTAAATTTGGGAATCATCTCCCGCAGCTCAAAACATTTTACCGACTTAAAACATCAAGTTACGAATGTGCGCAGCACAAATAGGTGCGAAAAAATTGAGTGGTTGAAAAAGCTCATAGTGCCGTGTGTTTATATACTACTGAAATCTATCACCATTTCGGGATGGTTACCTCCACCGTAAACCTCCGCAGGCACATGCACGCCAGAACGGCCTTTGAGAATCTTGAATGGGTAGTGGTCATCCGTAGACAGATGCGGATCGTTTAAGCTTAGCTGACGCAGATCGATATAGCTCACGTTATTTGCCTGTAAAGGGGGGAGATGGTAGAAGCGGCGTTAGCCAGTGATTTTCTTTAACATACTTTGCGGGATTACTCATAAGTAGTCAAATAAGCTTTTATCAAAATAGCAAGAGGAATGAAATTCTACTCCATCGTATCCTACCGTGCTGAGCTACGAATAAATAAACCTGATTCATTTAAAACATTCAAAAGCTCGTTACGCGATAATAGAAACAGGAAAAAAATTGGGCTTATATTATTTTGATTGATTGATTGATTAGAACAGACCACTGTGTCAACCAGCTCACGCCAGGACTGAACCGAAAGACCAGTTCATGTTTGTACAGGTGTCGTCTTCAGAGATAGTCAGTCGATTCAATTTGGCCCCGTAGCTGGAAGAGGTGAGGAATGTGCGTGAAGGTGAAGTCGAAGGATGGTCATTTCTAATCAGTCAATGTCAATTAACCCTCAACACTACTCACGAGGAATTGTGAGTCAACTGCGAATTGTGTTTTCCACCAGAAAAATTACTTATGAGATCAACTCCGTTGTATCAGTTTCAGTTTCAGTTTGAACAACCATTAACCATGCACTTTCGTGCGCCGGTTTTGGTTGCTGTTTTTTGGCTGCCCATTGGGATGAAGAATAGGAGAAGAAAGGAAAGTTGAAAGTGGATTCGAAAAGAAAATGGAGAAGTTCAGTGGACTAAGGTTGTATACCGCCGGTCTAATAAGAAACTTGAAGAGGATGCTTTTTTCTCGACTAATACTAGCAACCAAATGCAATCCATTCTGAGTGTTGTTGTTAAAAAAATCAGCGTAGATGACTGAACACTGAATTACGTAAGAAGAAACCGATATCAGTTCGATGACGTTTTTTTGTAGTAACCCAAATGGGCGAAATCAGACTATTGAACACCACGTTCGGTTCTGACAGTAACCTTGGAGATTAAATCAGGTGCTATCGGTGTGACCTCGGAGCTCAGTTGGTAGAGCGTGTGCTTTAAAAGAGCATAAGTGGCGTCCATGCATGGGTTCGAATCTCACCGAGGCTACTGAACCTTTCACAATCTGGACATAAAACTTCAATCTGTCAAACAACAACAACTTGAATAACTTTTCCTACTTGAAGCTGACGCCCACACGGTGAGCAGTTTTGATCGTGATGCGATGGTGTTAAAAAGGAAATACTTGATGTGTCAAATGATATATTCTTCAATCAAATCAAACATGTGCATACTCATAGTCACACGCACTTTTGAGTAGTGAGTTTGGACCAACCAGATTGAGTTCGAAGGATTGTGCCGGAAGATGGAAACTGAAGGATAGTCAGTCCAACTCAACATTATTGATCCCACACTACTACGTTTGAACAACTGTGAGTTTACTGTAAACTGAGTTAGTCTAGCCAGTCTTAATTGAATAGCCTATCCGAATACGTACGGAAAACCTGCCTTGAAGGGAGATTTTCGATTAGATTTACCGACAGAAAAGTCAAATCGTAATGCCCAGCGGTCTTTGAACAAATGACTGTTTCCACCTATTTTTCCTCATCGTTCCAATTATCTTTTATAAAATCTTAATTTCCGGGTTTTTACGCCAAGAAAGGTTCATACCGCACCACCGGCGATAGTTGATCCTCATTGGCCCATTTTTCCATGTCCCACTACTTTCGAACCAATATCCAAGGTCATTGATGACCGGTTCCCAAACTGTATATAAACAGGCGAGTTGTTTGCTGTTCTCGCCTTTTACGGTCGAGTGAAATATACAACCGCACATTAAGGCACCTGTCTTCCGAGCTCTTCCTCATCGGTTTCGGGTATCGCACTGCTTTCGCAGAGCGTTCTTTTCGATTCCACTGGGATTTGCGTTGGGTACCGCAGTCGGGCGTATTCGTGTACAGTTGCTTTCGGGGTCGTTACCGCCACACGTATCGTTTTGGATTGCGCGCCACGCCAGTTCGGTCGTACCGTCCAGCAGCATGTACGGAATCACATTACAAGTCAGAGGTCAGAATAACGTGTCAATTTACGGGCAACTGGTAGAAAGGGGACGCTTTCGGATGTGTTGTTTAAGAGGAAAGGAAGCACAAATGCGTAGTGACTGTTACCCGGACAAGGCTGAAGGAATTAAGCGCGACCTGGGTTCTAGAGAGAGCTAGCCGATGGCTGGAACTGCATAGGGAGTGCAGTTCGAATGCATGGATTTTCTTGCTTCAAAGAAATCCTCGGTGTTCTGGTCATTACCTACAATCTGGTGCTTCTCTTGTTTCCCAGGATTTTCCATAGATGAATCACTATTTCTCAATGAAAAATGTTTAATGTCATCTATTGTTCAGGGTAGAGAAGAGATCACATGATATAGCATTCTTTCACAAGTTGTTTTGCGTTTTTACCATTGCTATGCAGCATAAAGTGTTTCCCGAGGTCATTACCAAGTTCTCACGGATTGTCTTACTGAATTCCAAATTTTGGCAATCTTTTGTGGACAGTATTACATGTCTGCGTTTTTCTAGAACATTCGATCGATCATCCAAGCGCACGTATGAGGATAAGTCGGGAACCAGGTAGGACCCCATGTGAAACCCGGTAGGTAAAGTCAGAAACACGAATTGATTTGGTCCCGTTATCGGAGAAATCCTTCATTCCAATCAGGCACCTGATGGTTGTTCACACGATTGAGTGTTTCTGATAAGCCCCAACAAATTACATAGATCGTCTACTATCAGCAGACATTCGCCTACTCACAGAGTACGCCATCCACACACAGAAGCCATGGCTACAACGTGATTGCAAAATGCTAAAGCGTCCACAAAGGATAGCTACCAAAATGGTTAGGCGGTTGAATCGCTATTCATACGTAGAGGGATTGAAGTCGCTGAGGGTATATTTCAATCACTCTCGACACATCAAACAAGACGTGATTATGGTATATCAAATAATGCAAAACTCAAGCCATCCATGTCGCCCGCTGCTAAAATTATCATCACACGTTCAACTTAGAGGACATCCGTTCAAACTAGCAGTCCCAAAATGCCGATTGAAACGCAGGTGTCAGAACGTGTTCGATTTGGAACTCTCTCTCTCAACCCACGTCGTCTGTGCGCCAAGCATTGAATCTTTCAAACTAAGACTGGATGAAACATTAGCACACCTTACATCCCAAAATCAGTGAAGCTGCACGCAGCAGCGGAAGAACCATGTGTCTTGTGACATTTTACACACAACGAATTGTATGTATCACTGTCTTTGAACAACAATATGAACCTATGAGACGAGAAAAGTATGAGCTTGTAAGTTATTGCCATTATAAATCTTTGATCTTTGTGTCCCTTGTGTTTATTCATCTCAGACAAGAAGTAAGTTAGCTGCACTGGATCATTTTATCGGGAACTCATGTTGAACTAACGAAAGAAAGTTAGATATTATAATGAGTAAGATATGAATGGTTGGATAAAATTTCTCTGAAGCATATACGACCGGTTTCGCAGTCCTTGTCGCTCATCAGGTATGCGTATCCGGTAATCCAATTCTGTCTGATCATTCTCAGACTTCAACTCCCGATGTAAATTTTTGGTAATGGAAATCTCATCAGCAGCTCGAGGAACTGAGCCAAGATCAAGTAAGTAATGAAAATTGACTCTGGAGTCGAGGTGGCTGAGGTAAGACGCAGCTAACACACAACACTGAATACAGAATGATAGCAATGAATTTTCGAGGCTTGCTCCTCGCAAATCCACCCCCACCACGGAGCTAAAAATGAGATTTGCGTTGCCCAAAGTTATATCCCTTAAGTGTTTCATCACGGATTTCGCCATGATTGACTCCATGACTTTCGATAACACTCCAAGTAGAGTTAGGTGTCAGTAGTGGGCGGGATCACTATGACAGCCACCTTTGCATACGAGTGAAATAACTCCTTCTTTGTTCGATTGTGAGAAGGCCGTATTGTCAAATATCCTTTAAACTAAATTGGCTAGTGCCTCGGATATGTGTCTATTATCCGCACCTGGGGTTGTATTTTCTCACAAAGCCATTAGTTTATTCTTTGAAGTTACGTTACACACGTCTGAATCCAGGCTGTGTGCCAAACAAATCATGGTACAAGAATCTTTATGAAAAAATAGGTTCCATGATTTGCATGTGGGCGGAATACTACTGTCAGGTTGCCTAGGCCAGACAGGGGAATTTTCTTAGGGATTCCACAACCGGAGCCTTCGGTTAGCCAAAGCCTGATCCACAAGGCAACGAGCGGGGCGGTGTGTGAAAACCGTAGTCTACTAGGAGCCGGTGTCCAGTTTATCGGATCGTGCGCCCTGCGGACGGGATCAAACTTCCAAGTTGCCCAATCAATACACCTCGATGCCCAATACACCCTAGTGAAGAAGGTGTTTATTTTTCTCACCAGGATAGATCCCTCAGAGAAAGCCACTTCCTCTTGCTACTTCGGATAGTTGAGTTTTAACATAAGGGTAATATTTGAATAGAAGTTCTGCATTCTTGCCGCGTTCTATGGGGGGGGGGGGGTNTACCATCAGCTCCTCATTTATCAACACTAAATTCAGTATTGATGGTGATTGCACGCTTTCAAACCGGGGATGTAAGTCAATTGGTCGTATAACATTTCATCATAACAGAAAGAGGACAAATATCGAGAAACGTGTGAACATTTCGTTTAATCTTCTCAATCGCTGACTAAAAAACAATCAGGCACTCATATATATATAGCACATGGGATTGATCAATTATGGTGAACGAACGTGTACAAGTATACAAAGATTACTAAATTTAGAAGTAGAAGGTCAACTCCACGGTAGGTGGATTGATTGTATCAAAAACTTCTGTGCGCACAAGGCTGGGTGATGTGATCGAATAAGCAGTGCTTCACTAATCATTAAAAGTTTTGCATTTCGATTACGTAACAGTGGTTTGAAAGACGAATTAGGGTCAACTGTGTGTCTTGTTGCCATGAGATGTTTTGCAACAGATGATCCCGGATTTCTTGTAAACACTTGGCCATCATTTATCGTTTGCGTCATCGATTTCACCAGCCACTTTGGAATAGGTTCGGCCATCCGTTGTGGCAGCTGACGGTTTGTTCTGCTTATGTATGCATCATCGCAACTGCAAGTGAACTGGTATACAGTGTGTGAGACGCAACTGGTTTGCCAGCCATGTTTACGCTAGTCCAAATCGATTCCACGAGTTGAGGCGATGAGTCTGAGTTGAGCAGCTGGGAATGTAAGGTCTTCATAGAGCTGACCTCAAGTTCTGGTGCACATCATTGTAAATGTGATCACCTTTGAACGCAACCTTGATGTAGATGGCCTTTTTACTAACATTTTGGGAGGGGTTACCATTTGGAATTGGTCTACTGTGAATATCTATAAACCCTTCTGGGTAACCATTGTTTAGCAATGTTCTCCTTAGGAAATCCTCTTCTTTCTTCAGTGTGTCTGGAGAACAAAAGTTTCCCGTCCGATAAAATAGGGCTCTCACAAGCCCGCGTTTGTAATTCATGGAAGAAAAGCTGGAAAAGTGCAGGTATTGGCCGTTCCATGTCGATTACATCACCCGATCTAGTGCGCACAGAAGTTTTTGATACAAGCAATCCACCTACCGTGGAGTTGACCTTCCATTTCTAAATTTAATAATCTTTGTATGATTGTACAAGTTCATTCATCATAATTGATTAATCCCATGTGCTATTTATGTGTGTGACTGATTATTTTAAGTTAGCGACTGAGAAGATTCAGCAAAATGTTCACACATTTCGCGACATTTGTCTTCTTTCTGTTTTGATATACATTCCTGTGTTTCCTCTCTCTCTCTCTTTGCCACAAATAAAACTACGTTTAGCAACCTCAAAGAATTTTTACACGCGTTCATCTGTGTTCTCTTCTACTACCCGATGATGAAATGGATAAAGGAAACTCAATGCTTCAAAGTTCGTATAACAGATAGGTGGTTGTTGGTTTATTGAGATGGGGACAGTTAAAATCACCCATCAGAAGAATGTGTTCAAATAATTGTGTAAGATTGTGTGTGTGTGTATCTGTGTGTAGTTTGCAAAAACACTTCGTTGTTTGACTTCGGTGGGTCGATGGACTGATTTTATTAATAAGAGATTCATCGTATTTGGATAATCGTAACTTACACCGCAGTGTGTCCGAAGCCGAAATTGGAAGACAATCAATAAAAGCAGAACATCATCACCGTCATGTGTAGGGTATCGTACCTTAGTTTGTTTCTGTATAACAGCTAAGTGAGTATCAGCGTTCGAACACCGCTATCTACGCAGCGTTGTATGAGTTTGGTGGGGAATTTTTCAATCAGCCCATTCAATTTTTCACAGGCACTGGGCACTGTTGGGAGATCGATATTGGTAAACTGTTTGTATGCATTTCAATGCGATGGAAATGTTTGTGATGGGCAACGAATGGATGCGAATTCTCTCTTCTCCTTGAATTTGTTTTTTACATTCCAATCTTTTCATTTTACTGTTTTATCCAAATAGGTAGCCAAAAGACAGCAACAAAAATCGGCACACGAAAATGCACGCATGGTTGTAAAAAACTGAAAACGAAAACTGTAAAAGATCAGAACAGGATGTTTGGTTACGTTATCATTGGTACGGTTCAGCGAATCCGCACGAGGCACAAAACCGGATCAAGCAAACGGGTGAGCACAAAATTCGCCATATCATTCAATCCTGACTCACGATTAGAAGTGGATTCCATGCATATTTAGAGGCCTCTTCCTCAGTCCACGAGACCGCTTCCTGGACAGGGACAGGAGGGTGTACAGACAACAGGGTAGGTTAGTCTGAGGTACCAAATGATAAGCGACGATCACCTGCATAAATAATAAAATCCCGACCGTATTCGCACATAATGTGGTAGAGATGTTACCAAGTTTATAAATATACATCTTATCAAGTCAACAGAAAATACGGGGACCCTGGATCCTAATGAGGGTGTAAATCAGACTTGCTAAGATCTACGAGTAAGCCGGGATAGAAGGTGGTTGCGAGGTGGTAACGTCACCAAATTATAATCCGGTAGGAAAAATGTGTTCTAATTGTACCATCACTGTCTGACTTTCTCACTATCTGTGTTGCATAGCTGCCCCGTTTCATTGGCCGCTTCCCGCTTCCTGAAAAATTGTATCTTTGTTTTCTCAATAAAAGGGAGTAAAAAGGATAGTAACCCGTTTGGTACTCATCAGGTTTACCCATGTCAGGACTTGAACTGCGAACCTTCGGGTCGGGACTTCACACCCTAACCACTGAGCTACACGGTCGACGGAGTGGGGTTGGGGGGGGGGGGGGGGGGCCTTTTTAAAAA